TTACAAGCATGCAGAGTATGCTTGGCACATCATAGCCGTATGTATTCAATATTGAATGGGCCACTTCAACAGATTTATGAATATATCACTGAAATTCCGGTAAGATCTTTCATTTCTGGCATATTAGCGGTTAGCGGTCTCAATAATTCAAAATTTGAAAGAAATAATTCAATCAATCAATACTTTATTGCGTTCTACAATGTTTTCTTAGATCTTAGTAGGTACATTGGTTTGATCGTTGTAGACCCTGAACAGGGCACAGCAAATAGAGAAGAGGACGCATTCACTAATTGTAATTTAGTTAGTACGTATACAATTTACCAGCCAAATACGATAATTTTTTACCCAATTATTGTTCTTCATTGTCATTAGAAACGCGCATTAAGTAATTAAATTTAACGATTCGGTAATTTTATGCCCTAAAATAAAAATTTTACGAAACTATTATTTTATGTCTATCTATATCTGAAAAGATCAGAAAGCTAAATATGCTCTACCTCATTTAGGAGCTTGGGTGTTCAAATGTAGACAGATGTTTATAATTTTCATTACTTAAGAATCAATTATCTGTGCATATAAAACCTAAACGGGCACTTAAAATCAGTTAGGTGGATTATGAATTATATTCATTGATTATAAGAATTTATTGTTATTACACAATTACTTTAGTCCTTGTATGTGATTTTAGCTTGTAATGGGTGACATATGGCCGACATGCATATGCTACATTTGCTACCATATGATGAGAAAATTCAAAAAGTTTATAGATAAATCACTAAAGGCGAACGAGCTCCTGTTGCAACTCATCAGTTCCGAGTCTGAGGTACTTATTTTTTAAAAACCTACAAACATTTCATTACAAAGTTTATGTTTTATGTAGCTGTTTGTGGCTTAATTTATACACTAACAGCCTTATTATTCACAATCGCAGACTAAAGTTAAACCTGGACTAAAGCTGATGCTGTCACTTTTGTTTGCTGTTATTTTAGTCTGCATCTCGGAATAAATGAAATTTTCTGAGAAATATTTCATAATGGTTAATTGCTTCCACTTTTTGCGTGTCTGCAAATATTGTTTAGTATTCCTTAATAACATTAACAAAGTTTTTGTACAAAATATGGAATTAAGTAATTTTTGATTTGACCCTTAATCACGTACCACTGGTCTCAGGGACAACAATAACTTATAACAGTATACTATATCTATATGTGCTGGTTGTGATGTCGTAGGCGTGTACCTTTGCTAGGCATCACATAGTGTCAACTTGTACTTGATGAATAATATAATAATAATAAATATATCTTTATTCAAATAAGGTCATACATTGCATAATAATACTAATAGCAATATAAAATACAAAATAATGGATGCCTGAACTAGGTTACAGTTAAAATTGCACATGTTTGCTCCGGATAAGTAAAAATATTTTGCAGTGACCACACATAGGTGGTTAAAGAATGAATATAGGTCATAAGTGGTTAAGGGTTAAAAACCTGATGCTTTCTTAACTATACCAAAAAAAGTGACAATATAATTTTTAGGTTAACTGGAGTTTAAGCTTAGTCACTATTTTGTAATAAGTCTAAGTGTAATAGGCTAGTTGACCCTTTTTGGAAAAAGGTTTTAAATGGTTAATAAATGTTCTATTAGACCGAAAAAAAATGTATTGTAATTTTTTTAAACCTAGAAAGCTACAAATCTTTAATTTTAAAATAGACTTTTCATGGACATACAAAAACGCTGTCGGCCATTTTAGTCTATAGATTATCTGTGCTATGATGTGAACTGTGGTAAACAAAAACTCGTAAACACGTAGAAAATTACTTTTAACTGAGTTTATAATAAAAAAAAACATGATTTCTAATAAATACCACGAAAAATAAAGTAATTATCATTACTGTATTGTACGAGAATATAAAAACACATCCTTGAAGACTCCAGGAAAGTTGTGGATTAAAGTGCCGAAAGAAATTAACCTACGCAACTTTATTACACTTATTCATATGTTGTATCAGTTTTATGTTTATTACTACATTGTAATACTAAATACACTGTACTTACATAGATGCCTTGTCGTTTCTCTGCTCCGCAGAGCAGAAATCGGGGTTTAGTGCAACAAATTCACCAACCATCAATGCGTCAATTCTTGGCAGATTTGTGCTTTCTGCTTTTACAAAGCCGGCATCCATAATTAGTTTTGTCAAAAAAAACTAAGTTTACTGTTTTTTTTCTTTCCTAAAGTTAAAAGTGTTTTAAGATAAATTTAGTCAGACGAAAGAATCTACCTACAGTAACACGCGAATGACATTTAGTTGTTTGTTTACCACAAGAGACGTCAAAATCATGGCGGATGTGGCGAACAGCGTTTTTAGTGTTTAAAAAATATAGACTAAAAAATATTTTTTTAAATTAAATTTCTACAGCAATGTTCTGTTTTTATTAAGTGAAATCGATATATTAAGGTTCCTTAGACTAAATACTTTAAGAAATAAACATTTATTTAATACATTTCGACATGAGTAAACTAGCCTATTAATTATGGCAAAATTATTTTACATGGGATTTGTTTAGGTCACCACAGACACACTAAATATGATTGTGAAGCGACAACCTGATATCGCCTGGAACTATAGTGTGTCACCGATGGAGAGTATTATGCTTGTAGACCCAGAAGAGGTTAATCTGGAGGTTACTTTCAAGGTTGAGAAAGTGAAATCTGAATCGGACTTAGAGGAGATGCAGGATCAAAGTGAAACAGGTATTTGTTATATGCCAACCTCCATGGTGTGAGTGGTATGTACACCGGGTTTTTGAGCTGTCACCTACTTAGAGGTCCTGGGTTCGCATCCTGGTGGGGCCAATGTTTGTATGATGAATAGGTATGAAGTATTTGTATCCAAGTCCTGGCTGTTCATATATGTTTCTATAAATATACTTGTTCACTTCATTATATTATGTAAATTAGTTCTATTATATGTAAGGTGTCTAGTGGTCCACATACTATAATGTCAGGGAGAATAAGGGAAGCTCAAGTCTTTGATTTTATACACCTTAGATACAGCTTAAATATATCTACTACATATGGTAGATATGACCGTGCCTACGCACCCACACATTGACTGCTTTAGTACAATCTGACATTAGAGTCACACACACATTGCGTGAAACACAAGCCGTTTTCTTTGTTTGATTATTTGGATTGCCCACACACAACGACAAAACAAATAATTTTTCACTGGGTAAGATCATGTCATAAAGAAGGGTCATGTATATCAATTCGCAAATGACTTCTGGTGGCCAACAAAAACATGAATCTATCACAAACTGTTATTCAGGAAAGCTTTGATCAGGTATGTAAGTGGGAACATGATGTAGGATTGTTGATAAATGGGCAAGAAACTAAAATAATTGACGTACACTCATCACATAACAGGACACCTGACACACCGACTACCCTGATCAATGCCTGCATAGCGATAGGAATATTTGTTTGGGTCCAACTTTAGAGGTTTCAGAAAGTCATATGTTTATTGTTGCTATTATCAGGCATGCATTGTTCCAAATCAATAATTATTTATGCAGCCCCAATTGTGAAAAAAAAACAAATTAGATCATTAACGGCAATGGAAGTGTGTCACAGTATAAGCGTTACATCACAGTTACCTGAATATGTTGAATATACATAGCTGCAGGTTGAGATTAAATATCACCAAAGAAATTTTGCAACTTTAAATAATTTCGTATTCACTGCTTTAATAATCAAGTATTTTAGGCAGGTTTTATTTATTAGCACTCATAATTCACTTCACTACTACTACGCACTAGCAAATACAAACTTTTGCTATTTTATTTATGAAAGATACTCGGGAGCTATTCAAATACATCTAGCTTCACTATTAAACTTTTGATAAGGTCAAAAGGTTTGAATTATTTATTTTTTGAATGACAAGTAAGCATTCCTGATACTATGTTCACTGTCATTGATATAGATGGTGATCATTAAATAAATTAAGTAATATTTACAGAAGCAAAACTGCCCAAGAAACGTAATCTGACCAATGAAAAGGACAAGGAATACCAACTTGATTCTCCAACAGTTATTATAGTTGTATTTTATGTATTATGAAACAACAACTTATATTTTTTGAATATTTGTTTGTTGTAGTGTCTAGCGAACACGTTTTTATGACCCATCAAATAAACGGCCGATGATTATTATTAACAAAATATTGTAATATTACAGAAGCAAAGCTGACCAATGAAATCGAAGTTGATTCTCCAACAGCGTCAAGAACAACCGAAGAAACTACAGAAACAGGAAACGAAGTCCAAAATATTGATGTCAAGATAATTACAGAATACAAAAATAACGACAGTCTCTCTAAACCAACAATTTTTACAAACAGAAGTGACGAAAATAATGCGGTAAAGAACAAGCACAACAAAGTCAAAAATCATAAAGAAAATTTGACATGCGATACATGCAAAAACGTATTTTTTTGTAAAAGAAATTTAGAAAGTCATATAACAAAATTTCATACTGAAATATCCGTCATAGCTAACCAAAATTGTACCAACACTAAAGAAAACTGTAATGAAAATGATAATAAAACCAAATTGGAGAGCATTATTGTTTCTGTAACGAGAAGCAACCGTGGATATTCGATAAATAAACGCGATATTAAGACGGATATAAAAGAAAACCCATATAATTCTAGTATCTGTGACAAAAGATTTACTCAAAATAGTAAGTTAGCCACACATCAAAGAATACACACAGGAGAGAAACCTTATGTATGTAACGTCTGCGATAAAAGATTTACTATAGGAAGTTATTTATCCAAACATAAAAGAATTCACACGGGAGAGAAACCTTATAAATGTAACGTCTGCGATAAAAGATTTACTCAAAATAGTAATTTAGCCACACATCAAAGAACTCACACAGGAGAGAAACCTTATAAATGTAACGTCTGCGATAAAAGATTTACTCTAAACAGTAGTTTAGCCACACATCAAAGAACTCACACAAGAGAGAAACCTTATAAATGTAACATCTGTGATAAAAGATTTACTGCAAGTGGCGATTTGTCCAAACATCAAAGAATACACACAGGAGAGAAACCTTATAAATGTAACGTCTGCGATAAAAGATTTACTGTAAGAATGCATTTATCCATACATCAAAGAATTCACACGGGAGAGAAACCTTATAAATGTAACGTCTGCGATAAGAGATTTACTACAAGTGGTAATTTATCCAGTCATAAAAGAATTCACACGGGAGAGAAACCTTATAAATGTAACGTCTGTGATAAAAGATTTACTGCAAGTTGTGATTTATCCACACATAAAAGAATTCATACGGGAGAGAAACCTTATAAATGTAACGTCTGTGATAAAAGATTTACTGATGGTAGTAATTTATCCAGACATAAAATTATTCACACGGGAGAGAAACCTTATAAATGTAACGTCTGCGATAAAAGATTTACTCAAAGTGGTGATTTATCCAGACATAAAAGAATTCACACGGGAAACAAATTGTGATCGACCAATAATTTAGTCGTTATCGTACGATAACCAATCACCGAAGTATTGTTAATACTTCAATCTCATGGTGTATGATTTCAGAGGGACCAAACTGAAACGCATCTTAAGCGCAAAGGCGGCCTTAGGGGGCTCCGCGGCGTCGCTTTTGCAGGACTACATTTATGTGTCGTGTTGTGCTGTGACTCATCAGACAGCTATCTGTTTCATACATTAGAATGATTACAGTAAGAACGGTGTCAACACATCATATATAGATAAGACTTTATTCACACCAACATGCACACATACAAAATTTACAAGACAAATTTTACAATTGGATAAATCCTTTAAAACAGGCAACAAATTATATTTATACAACTATACAATGATATTTTCGTGTGCAGCGGCGATGCGAACGGGCGAAAAATCAGCGAAACATTTACTCAGAGAGTGAATCGATCATTTTCATTTGTGAAGATGAGGTCTCGAATTTAAATGTTAGATTAAAATTCAAAATTACATTGAACGAAATTAAAATTAAATTAAATACGAGCAAATTAAAGCGGCAGAGGCAGCCTTAGGGGGTCCCGCGGTCTCGCTTAACAACCCAAATCCAGTCCAATCCGAGGTAGGCAAAAGCTGAATGAAGTTGGAATGACTACATAAATATGATTACACTAGATAAAAGTGATTTTAATAAAAAAAATGCAAGGAGACAGTCGTAACTCAGCATAGATCCTGTTGCGTAGACACTTAATACACAAAACTGCACCAATTTTGATCACATTATTTATAGCATTTGTTCACTCCTAGTAACGATACACTACCCAAACCCTTAGATTAAAACAAAAAGGGTAGATACGGCACTAGCCTCACAAAAGTGATCCGCATAAATTGTGGCCCAAGGCCACAATCGCTTTAGTCACAACTTGACATGCAAATGACGTACATGTGAACGTCAAAAAGAAATATTGCTAAAATTTTGTGATTATAAGATAAAACAATGCCTAAGTGTTGTTTTAAAAAGTGCTCAAATTGCTCTAGTACTAAAAATAAAACCGACGGCATCACTTTTCATTCGTAAGTACTATAAAATATATTTTTTTCATAAAAATGCTGTTTGTTTTGAATCTTATTCGGTATTTGTTATTAAGAAAAAGACAACAACACTTGTAAACGTTTGTATGAGGGAGAAAAAGCATAAGCGCGAATATTTGCCATTGTAATGTCAGTCGAGAGTAAAAATTGGGTAGAGTCAACAAAAAAAATATTTCGTAATTTTTTTTCGGAATATTAATTTATGTAGGTAAAAAATATGCTGCATTTATTAAACTCATTACATTTTGGTTTCTTCGAAGAGGTTTATTTATTTTTTCAGACATTTTAGCTTTAATATACTCTGTACTTACAGAAATGGCGTTTTCATTCTTTGTAGGGTTTAAAATTGTTTTTGTAATCTTCTTCTTCTTCCAGTGCCTCTTCCATCCTGAAGGTTGGCCGTTAGCTTCCTGTATGTAGTTCTATCAGCAGCCAACCGGAACAACTGTTCGACGGAGGCAATACCGGTCCACTCCCGGATATTCCGGAGCCATGACTTCTTTCTTCGCCCAGCACGTCTCTTTCCGTCCACTTAGCCTATCATTATCAACTGCAGCAGCATGTATCTATCGTTCCTGAGCACGTGGCCAAGATATTCTATCTTGCGCTTTTTGATAGATGAATTTAATTAGATTGATTTTAAAAGAGAAACAAATTGTCTTTATTTGAAGGAAAATGATTTCAAATTTTATGTAAAAGTGCTTTAAATTAAGTAATTTGTTCCTTTTTTGGTGTGTAAATACTATTGTACCATGAGCATTGGCATAACTAATTAGCATAATCTTTTTTATAAGTATATTTCTAATGCATATATTTTTGTAAATATGCTGCTGAACCGACGAAATTCGTACCGCTAACAGTCCATGAATATAATTATCTTCAAATTTTTAACTTCATTGAATTAACGATTTTACAACCGAAATAAAACAAATACAAAAGAAAATCAATCAGTTTGGTATTTAATGTAATAGATGTAGAGAAAATTATTGAACAATGTGTACTTCAATGGTGTATTAAAATCGGGGTTAATTGATTGCCAGGTTTTTGGCACAATATTCTACACAGTCATCCCTTAACCTGTCAGTACCTTAAGACTTCTTTCGATTTAGAATTTTTCTATGTTTTGGAAACTAATACCAAAAGGATAGAGCGCAAAACAAAGCAAAACAATCTTAGTAAAAATTGTACCAAGACGTGACGTCATGGGAAATTTCATATCAACATATCTCTGTAATGTTTTACTATGTGAATAAGAAATAAATACTTGTTCAATACTTTTATCAATCTACCTGGCCGACGAAGAAAAAAAGGTTTTGTCATCAACCCTATTGCCACAAAGTAGGTAGGTACCTAGTAAGATTCTTACTTCTGTTATAAAGCCCAAGGCATAACTTATGTTTATTTTTATTTATCGATGATGATTATTGTTTTTGTTATTTAATTTTACCTTTATATTTTTTTATTATTTAAATGAATAATTTAAAGTATAGTTTAGATTAGATTTATAAAACAAGCAATTCATGCTTAGAAGAGAAATATAATAAGTGTTTCGGATTAGATTCTTTTAAATACTGTAGACGATGAAAATTTCCAAATCCAGCAGTACAAGGTATCTTAAAAAAATGTTGACGGTATCGTATAAAAAACCTACTTTTAGTAGGTACGCTTGTTAACTGATTTTTTATCAGGTGATATAATAATGTGTGTCAAATCAAATCAGTTTATGATTGGTATTGAAATATAATAAGTGTAAAGTTTCTAGTAAAAATTGTATCTCGATTAGATTCTTTTAAACACTGAATACAATAAAAATGACCACATCCAGCAGTATAAGATACCTTAAAAAAATGTTGACGTTATCATGTAAAAAACCTACTTTTAGTAGGTATACTTGTAACCAGTTTCATTCCCTCAGCTTTCCAAAGTAGATTGAAAATTGCTCAATGTGGAATTTTTTTATTGAATTTTAATAAAAAAACTTATATTTAATAAAAAATACTTTTATTTTTTTCTCTGACGCTACTCTGTAGTGACGTCGAGTACTGGTCGCGTGATTGGTCGGTAGCGCAGTGACGCGGATCACGCCGTCCCGTTCGCGCTGCCGTTGAAACTTATATTGCTGTTTCGTTCGTTCGATTGTATCTTTACAAACAGTTGGATGTGTGAGTGTTGCATATGTAGTAAAATGGGATCAGTTTTTGTTTGATGCAAGCAAGAGCGTACCGTATCTACCCTTTTTGTTTTAATCTAAGCCCAAACCCCCATATTAATAAACGCCAAATAAGCATTGACTAGTAACGCCGTGTTTTGTTCACATCACTCAAATGCCATTTATCATTCAATGAACAGAGACGAAACAGAGAGAGCAGCAGAGATGATTGCTGATGTATTTACAAAATCTCTTAGTACTGTTAAACATAAGCAGTTTGTCAGTAAATTAAACTTGTTAGAATAGAATAATTATGTTCCTAATTTCCTACAGTTAAATTTTTTTTTATTGTAAACTTGACATGGAATCAGTTGTTTGTTTGACATGCGTTTCTAAATGTTTAAACACAAAATGGAATCTTTTGAATTTGTGTAATTTTTTGTGACATTGTGACTATTGTGTAGAGTCAGATGGTATATTCTTTTGTGTAATTTGTAGAAACCAAAGTGTAAGGTTCAGTTTATTGAATTATAGTTTTAAGGGGAAGTGTTGATGGTTAAAATTATCCTTCATGTATAGCAACACTATATACTACTGGCAACACTGGTGTTCACATCTCTCGTTAACTTTTTTGCTCTGCCTTTCTGTAATGTCCATTTTGTTTTCGCTACTTTGTTTTTACATCCATTTAAATATAAGATCATTTGGACATGTAATTGCCTCATTTATTGTGTCTAATAAATACAAGTGCAATACGAGTTGAAGACAATATTATTTCAGCTGAACTCATCTAATACCTGAACCTCATTCCACACATGGTTGAAGCTAAGCGACCATCCAATATATCCAACAATCTGCTTCAAAATTGAGTTGCAAGATTCCACCCGAACAAACATAGTTACATACCTACCTATATTGCAAGTCAATTAAAAGCTTGTAAAAAACCTGACTGCTGATTTTTATTCTTACATAATTCAATAAAAGAATATTATTTTAAACTTTTGTAAGTCATGGCGCAGTCGGGTTAAAAGGAAATTACCTACAATGTAGGTAAATCTTACTAGGTAGGTACTGTACGGATCGTTTCATGCAAACTAATTATTGTCATTGAAACACTTATTTTCAAGAAATTACATTATTATTATCCATAAACAATTACTGTTTTTTAAACTCCGCCCAAATCTCCCTATTTTATTATTTTCCAGCTATCAATCCCTGTCAACAATTCGTCTCTTTTCCAAATTACCTAATAAGCTGCCAGTATACACCAAAAATATCCGATCACTACAATACCTACCATTTATTACTCTCGTAAATTATTTCATAATGATATTTCATTTAATTCAATTATAGCCTAGTCTACGAAACTACCTACCTACCTATTAGTTTTGTTTTTAACGTGAGATTACTCGTTTGTCTCTTTTTTCACCCTATCCACTTATTTATATATTATTCCAGATATTTTGCTCGATGGAAAAATCGAAATACCTAAATATTAAAAACAAATTACGTACTAGTAGATGAGTATATAAAAAAATATCCTATAGTCTTACCTTTCCAATATTTCAGGTAATTTAAAAAATGATATCTATGGGTACCTACGTTATTAAAGAGTTCAAGCAACCAAAAACAGCACAATGTCGTCGTTTGTTCTTTGCCATATTAAATTATGTAGGTATCTACATAATTCAATCAAATATTTACAATACAAAACGCACGTTTAAGCATGGCTAACTGCA